GGTCGATCGTTTTGAGATACGATAAATATGGATCTCAATGCATGATGATCGGGTCATTATTTCCGGGATGCTTATTCGGCAATGGAAAACCGCACGTATCGACGAGAACGAGCGATTAGGTGGAACAGTTCCCAGAAAAATACTTATAGGATTTCTGATTCGAAAAAGTCTCAACTTTACTCACTGAGAGCCCACGAGTTCCTGCGGGAAATGCTCGTCCAGGTATAGTGATACTTTTGTGTTTAAGGAGCACAAAAACTTGACGCCATAAAGAGTTAGTATGAAAATAAGCAAGACCGAGCACTAAGCAGGGAGCTAGGCATTCGTTTTGGCATAGTTACAGTGGTTTATTTTATGCAAAAAAGTATTCGAATAAAGTTTGCTGAAGTGCACATGATCATCTGCCCGAAACAATGATGTTTCCCTAATTATGACATTTAACATATTCCCAAGTATCTTCAGCAGGTTTTCTTATCGCTTTTATAAGCTATGAAAAGTAAATTAATCTTCCATCAAATATTTCGAATTATCAAAAAGGAAAACTAAGACAAACGTCTGCAAATCATGTCATAAAAGGGGTTTAATAAACTGCCTGTGTTTGATAGATCTCACTGCCTTTATTGGAAATTTTAATGTTCAGAGGATAATGGAATGATTTTTGCCCTATAAAGATAAAATTTCAGTGTTTCCACAAAATCACAGAATACGTGATTCACACTGACTTCGGAGATTCAAAACTTGACATTACTAGCTCCATTATTATTCGATGATGGTGCAATTTCCCTGGTCATCATACATTTTAATATAGAAATAGAGTGCAGTACATTATTTTTCCTCCTGAGAGATGCCATTTGATGATTTCTGTATTTGATAAGAAAAAAACCAAGGTGACTGAATTCTGCAATTACACGATACTTTTCAACTCTCACACCAACGGCAAATGCTGAAATAATGCTGCGCCCTGGCAGAGCTGCTTTTCTTCATATAAGCTTATTATTTCCGAAATTAAATACCTGATGATCAATAAAATAAACTGTATTTTTTTATCGAGGGAGGAAAAACGTCCCATTATTGCTGAATTCGGGTACTATCGGTTGTTCCTTCGATCCCTTGAAGAAACGAGGAGCAAGCAGAAGATCCTGCAAGCTTATCCTTCCAGGAAGTTCATATTTAATTTAAGGAACCTACAATTGCTAAATTTTAAAGAATTTCCTCTCACAATAACGGGGATATATAAATCAATTCAACAGAAAGCTTCTGGAAAATTTCAACGAGTTCGTTCTTACGTTTCCTCAGTTAAAAGGAGTGTTTTTATATAACTAAAAAACTAACACTCTTGCTGTCTTAGTGGTGGAACTTTACTTATCTCAGGATGAAAGTTGCGCCCAACTTCCACGCGAGTTTTAAATTATCTCTTGAAATGGGAATTAAACTAAATCAGGGCAAACTAAGTGATTATCAAGTTCCGAGTCTTGTACATCCGGAACATCAGTGGAATTCTTCCATACGAACCCATGAGAAACACTTGCTACTAGTCTCATGACCATTCGCGCTTGCGTATTCGTGACCAACGATCTTCTTCCCAGGACAATCGTTCGGATATAATTAGGTAGCGAAATACTCGCGGCCTTTAATTTCGAATTTACCACGAAAAACAGTAAAACGCTTCCGTTCCGGCAATAATTCTTCTTTCTGGGAGAAGCCCAAGACGGTTTACCTTAAATGCCATTATTTGCGTCGACGAAGAAACACTGCCTTCGTTTTGTTTTGCTTTTCCCTATACTGTATACGAGCTCCGTAATAATCCAGTCGAAGATTTCCCGGCCGCATTATTCTTGTCTCGCTCAAAGAATGAAAAGAAGATGCATCGTATTCGCAGTTTGAACAACAAACTTTCAATCGAGGTCTCGGAGATCAATTGCCAAATTCCCCCGGCTTTGTGTCGGGGGGGGGACTCGGGACCAACGCCGCCAACGTCGGTCACGGCCTCTTGACACCCGACGAATATTCGGAATGAGCTTTTCGGAAGTAGCGCAAATGAATTTGGTAGTTTTTCCTCGTCCACCTATCATCAGCGTACCACTGATTTTGATGGATACTCGGGCCGGTAACTGTGCTGAGTGCCCTCGACCCTGCGAAAAAGTGGAACAAACATCGTCTCCTTTACCATCCGACCGTGCACAATGTTCCCCTCGTTCGTTGGGAAATACGGTGGTGGTGGTCCCCATCCGGAGGAATTCGCACCGATAAACACAGTCTCTGACGACCTCTTAAACTAGGCCTATCCTCGTGAACAGCGGAAGCATCTCCGGTCTGCAAATTATGGGCGTGCTTGGAAAGTAGGACGTGGTCTCCGTCCGGATTGCATTCAAATTACACGAAACACTGACGGAAGAAACGAGAGTAATCCTTAATTGTACCAATTTTTTTCCAGAAAGGTCCCTGTTTTTCGTGTGCCAAATAAATACGAGGGTTGGTCCGCATACATTTTGAGACTAACGCAGATTTCATTCCAATCATTGATCGATTCAGAATTAAAGCTCCGAGAAGGCGCAGTATCTTGCCATCCAAGGAAACGACAGTGATGCTGCTCAGTACCTATCGGTTATTTTGACTAAAAAAACAAATAAAAAAATAAAAAACGCTGCACATGTATCTCTCGCATGGTAAATTTTAAAATTGAGTTTTTGTTTCAATCCCTCGTCATTTTCTGTGCTTCACGGGACGCGTGACTTTGAATATCTTTTAAATCAAGGGCGTAGAGAACGCAAAAATTCAGGCCATGTGTGTTGACACTGGGTTTAGTGGGACTCAACAAGTTTCAAAACTTATGAACAACCCCGAGTACTCTTCACGAGTTCAGCTCTTGTCATGCTGAATGTCGTAAAATTTGGTGGACTCATTTTCTTCGCTGAAAAGATGCTTCATCTACCCAAGGTGAAACTCCTTCGAGGCTTCGTATAAAACAAAAAGGACAGGACGCATGCATTTTTGAGTCCGTTTTATTAGATCATTTCATGTAACTGTTCAAATGCTCAGTGGGTACGGAATATTGTATCACGGGTCCACTAAGAATTCATCTTTTCCCGAAGATAAATTAGGCACAAGGGTTGTTCGTTATCTGCACCCGTGTGGTTACAAATTTAAAAAATGTTCGCGAATATGATCAGGAAAAATGGCAGTTCAGATCGTTCAAAAGGCTCGACTGAATTGTTTCATATCTTACCCAATTTCGATTTGCCATCAGCCTTTTTTTATACCTTGAATGCTGGAAGAATAAAATGAGTCAACAGTGCATCATCCAGTTGCATCAATGTTCACAGTCGAAGTGCAACAGAATGCTTAAAAAAATGTAACCAATGACTATGGAGTCGGTTTTCATCCTTTTTTTTGAAGCTCGATCTTTGTCGAACGAAGGCTGCGAAGGAAATCGAAAAGTATTGTCCAACTGAGAAAGAGGGGAACGGACATTCATGGCACAGGAAATTGTAGCTATACACATGTTGCTGATGAAAGTTATTTCTTCGAGCATTCAGTAAAAATGGTTGTAGAATTTCGGGGATTGAAAAATAAGCTTTAAAAGTTGAGGAAAGCTTTTAATCCGCGGGTATAATCTAACTAATTTTGTACAATTAATTGTCCGATTTATCAGTAAACTGAAGTAATTTTTTAAAGCAATTGATGCGTTTTTCTCCTTGTGCGATAAGTTTTTTTTTGTTGAGTATTCAGCAGAAGCAGCCAAAAGCCATCAAAATACAAGCTTTTGAACGGCTTTGATTCTCTCAACGGACGAATATAATGTGCTGTTTCTTTGAGTATGAGGGAATTAATTTTAAAATACATTCGCATGTTAAAATATATGAACGAATGCGGGTTTTTAGGCTTTCATCTTAATGATGCATCGTTTCGGAAAGCTAAAGGCAAACAAATTCGTATAGAACGAATACAGTATTTTTTTAAATCCCAAGTACAGTCGTCAAAGCGTATTCCAAATGTTTTCAAATCGCTCACGAACTCATAAATTTAAAAGCCCTTTCTTGACGCGCTCTTAAAATTGAAAATTTACGATTGAAAACGTCAAGCTCACGACCGGCATTGAGTTATTCTGGATCGGGATCATTGAAAAACCTTCGACTTGAAAGAAAACGAACAAAACTTCTTTCAACTGCTGCTGAGGCACCTGTACGTGAAGGATCGATTGGCGGAAATTGGCGGATTGCTCGATGTAGCAAGTATCGTCGTTGAATACTACAGCATAGTACTGTAGTGTATTCGCATTCGAACTCCACGCATGGCTCTTGCGTATGGTTCAAATTGCCGTGCATTCGGAAGGGAAGGGCTCTTCGAAAGGGTCCGCATTCCACGAATCTTCCAAATATGGAATCATGAAAAATTGTGAAAATAGCTCCGTTTTTTACTTAATAGGACGCGGCGTACGAATGATCGCACTTCGTGAAGGAGAGAATGCTCCAAATCGCTCCCGAAAATATGAGGTCGAATCGGAAATTCCACGCATCCAACTGCTGTAAGCTATGAAGAAATCTAAAAATGAGTATCCAATTAGGGGTTTATTCACCTGCAGCCTTGGTGATGGACCATTGCATCTCAAAAAAGTCTGCGGAGCATTGAAATTTCGCAGCTCTGTCAGAATGCTAGAATAGAAATACTGTATTTATGATGGAGAGTCCAAGGGATACATAGTAGAAGCTTATTCCTTCCGTTCGCTCCGGAATAATTTAATGTAACTTCAAGGCAAGCGGAGAAAGACATTCGTTCACGGAATAGATTCTAGCAAAGATACGGAAATTTCAGCTCGCATTATGATTTCAGCTCAAATAATTCCAGCTCACATAATGATTTCAGCTCACATAATGAAATTATTCATTTTTATCTTCCGTTTCTTTTTGCTGAAAAAACCATAATCCACTATTATGAGTGCTGCATATGTAAAAAAATTTTATACAGTATTTCCATTCAATGCGTCGGAATACTCTCAAGAATTTCGTTCACGTATTTTTTATTCGATTTCGGGCTCCCATACTTTCAGTCTTACAGTCGGATGGAATGCGATGGACGTGATTTCGACACAATGATTTACGTTTTCCTGACCCATGCACGGTTCAAATTTGGGCTTTCCCTGAGTACAAATGAAATAAAGACAATGTAGGAAGTATAACTCATCACTGCAAAGAAGTTAGCCTCAAATGCCAAGCAAGCATTTTTTTTATACAGGCGGCCGTCCAACTATTGTACAAACAAATAACCAAATACGAGCATTTAAATACTGTACTGTGGGTCTCGATCCACTTATGGAATGACCCTCTCAATAGTCAAACAATATTTTATGGGGATGTTTGCAGAAAAACGGCGTGCATAAAAACTGCGCTTCGCATTAGAAACACGCTAGTAATTTCACGCATAAAACAAGCGACCTCAAATATAAAATGCTCGGCTTCGTCTGTGAAAATGTGAAGGGGAACAAGATACGGTTCCACTCTACCAAACTTCGTATTGTTTTTCTGAATGCTAACATGATAAATCGGTTCATGCATATAAGCCGGTGAGTGAAGGTGAAGCATTCACTCGAATTGTCAAGATTATTTTTTAATAAGGCAAGAAAGCAAAATGTGTGATTTATTTTGGTAATACGGAGATAAACAGGATGATCACTGATTTTTCGTTCCTTAGTGATGGCATAAGTTTGAGGGTGGGCAAAGCAAATACAGTTCTTTGAGCATTATATTTATAGCGCACTTTTTATGCACTTTCTGTTGACGTTCTCACTTTGAGAACATTTTAAACAAATAGAGGGTTGCTTCAAGCCTTAATATTGATCGTGATGGTTTAAAAAATAATTATCATTTAAGAATCCTGGTGCGTAATTGAAGAAATGAATTTCAAGTTACAGCACTGGCAAAGTATTCGAACCAGATCTTGAATCAAGTTTTTCTCGCGTGCTTGGTATTTTTAGTCTGTCTGAGTGAATCTAAAAAAGAAGGTTTCATTTATTGTCTGCGTTAGGCATAATGAAGCACTGCACATGATTAACGCATTCGGAAAGCGAATGATATTAAGCGTTTCTTTTTTCTTCAGAAAAATACGTGAATGCAAAGATTGCCGATATTTTGAAACCTGCCGCTCCGCCTTCGCAAAGAAATTTTGTAACTGTTCATTCAACGGTCACAGTTCGCGAGACTTGTTCAAAAAAAAAAAAAAAAAAGATCACGGCACATTCGTTCACTTTCAAAAACTGCTCCGCACTCAAAACATTTCCTGAGTCGACTTCACAGTCGAAGATCAAGACGCAGCAGCAGCTCCGACGGGAATCGGATCCGAGACCAGGGGTGACGCGGTTCGACGGTCTTTGCGTTCTTCGGCTGCTCGATTTCTGCCTTGGCGAGGTGGCTCCATGGCGTAGCTGGCTCCATACGGACCCCGCCCGCTCGAACCCGGATTAAGTGTTCTGCAGATGACAATAACATCGACCGGGTTAAAGAACAAGATATGCATCCCGAACCTTTTTGTTGCTCTTGAAAGCACAAGCGGATTCATTTTTTTATTTTTCAGCGTTTCGCATCTCATTTTCATTTTTGTTTTCTTCTCTCGCGTCTCATTGTTATTCTTGCATTTTTCGCTTCAATTCTTTGCGGGAGAAGTAACTTCATCCGCTTCCGTTTCATTCCTTCAACTTATCTGTACGTCACATTTTTTCCATGCAATTATTGTATTAATATGCAGTTGAGCCTTTTTTTATTGAAATTTGTTGCGTCACACTTTTTTTACAGTAGTTTATGCATATATTCTTCGCCTTTATGCTGGGGTGGTCGAATCACAGCCTTTACATCGGGATTTTATCTTTGAAATGCTACCTTTGCCAATTTACCACATACTGAAATTGCGATAAATCAAATCCAAGGATTAACGAACAGGATACAAGACATTATAAATGGAGGAAATCACAAATCAATACAATTATTTGAACTGGTTTGGAATTTCCGAAAATCTCAAGAAGCAAACCATTTTCAATGCCCTTTCAAAAGTTTCTTTTGAAATGTCATGCTGTTTATTTGTTCTCTACTTTTTCTTCTCGCAGAATCACGTTTTTTTTCTCTGATAGTTTAGTAGCTTTTTGAAGCTAATGAAGGAAAGCTTAAGTTTAGAATAATATTTCACACAAAAATGTAACTTTATCCTTGAGAAGTACAGCCTTGGCTTAAAATAAAACATTAGGTAGCTGTGATTTTTCTTACTGACGTAATTTGAACAGAAAGGGTTGCATGCAAGTTGATCTCTGGATAATTAAGGTTCTAATATGCAGATGAAACTCTCGAAATAAAATTTCAAGGGACTCAAACATTTTTTGACAGACAGACTTTTTGAGTTTAAAATTTTGAATTAAAGCCATAGAACCTCATTTTATGGCCAAGGTATGATAATTATGCAGTATCAATAAATATTTTATCAGCAAGAAGATGACTTATCCCTTGTGAAAATCAGGAAAGAATAATTTGCATCTGTTTTTTGGAACACATGTTATAAAATGTATCCCCAATTTAATTACATGAAGGTTTTGAAAATTCAAGGGATATTTGACCCTAAGATTTTCGAGTTTCGGATGCTGTAATTGCATTGCACGTGACGGAATTGACCAGAGCTTAACTGAAAGCTCAAATCAGGGACGTTTTACAGTGCTGATGAGGTTTGACTTGTCAAGGTTTGAGTGCATTACGGTTTGCCTGAGCTTGATTAGAATGGATTCATCTAAAAGTCTCTGACAAAGATCAACTGACAATCACACAAATTACTGAGCGGACGATATGAAGAATCGGGTGGATAAATGAAATGAAATGTCAGCAGTCAAGAACTGAGCACTCTTTTCGTCTGTGCGTTCGCATGCAGCTCGCGTCCGGAGTGTTCTCATCATATCGACTTTCAACAAAAGATGGAACCCGAGACGAGAGAAACGCGGGCCAAGCAAAACACCTGACCTGATCTCGAAATTGAGCTTCGCGAAAAAAGGTACCTGTAGATGACATAGCTGTGGTAGCCCTGGCACAAGGAGACGAGCAGGAGCAACACGCCCATGCTGATCCCGGCTGCCCGACCCTGGTCCGCGGCTCCCCGGTCACTGACGGTCAAGAGCATGGCGCTGGAGCACAGCTGCATCGCGCCCATGACGAAGACACGCAGGCAATCCTGAAAAAAATGAAGCAGTTCACGGCGATGTACAGTACTGTATTTTCAACGACGAGAAAAAAGAAGAAAAATACCCCATCCTGATGCATTAAAAAATCTGGATCAGTAGGTTTTTTTTTCGATTTTTCCTCCACTTGGAGCAAAAAACTCTCTATGCCCCCTTTACGCAATCACAAGCGGCTCGCTGAAGAGTCTTGATTTTCTTGCAAGCTTAATAAGCTGTGAGCAATCCAGAGGGAGGCCCAGAAAGAAGCGGATACATTTCAAACAACAATAATGCTGCAGAGCCTCGGAAAGTTGGATTCATCACCTTTAGAATAAGTCAACTTGTTGCGTATTATTATTTAATTTTCATATTTACTCAAGTACCATGCGCCCTCAAGACGCGCACCAGGATTTTTGCATAAGAATCAGCCTAAAAACTTTTGCGCTCTCAAGTCCCAAACCCGAGTTCTTTCGTGTACAGGATTTTCATTCTGGAATATTTCAACCAATGAATGAGATAAATATTCAACAATACCTGCCACAATATTCTCACACGTCTCAAAGTGCATTGTCCCGGATAATTGATTGCTGGTCAAAAGGGAATAAAATGGCTGAATTACAATGATACTGATTGCTTTTGCTTCTGTCCGATGAATCAAAGTCGGCTTGGGTCAACCCAAGCATACCTGAAGTTCTAAAATAATGTCAACACATTGGAACATCCTCCTGAAAGGCACCTGCTTTTCGCTTCGAAAGAAATAGGTACTCTTGAATCTCGATAATTCGAACCTCGCTTAGCTTATTTGACATACTACCCTATGTCGGTTTTTTCAAGTCCCTGTCTGAATTCCCTCATAAACAATACATGAAAAACTTCCTGACTTGAAGGCTTTCCCCTCAAATAGCCATTACTCGAATTTTCTGGAGGTCTTTTGACTTGTTTTCTACTGACAGAGGAAATTTAAAATGCAATAAAAATTTAACTACAGTATGTGTTTTGAAAGGAAGTGGAAGGCTATTGGGCAAATGAACCCTTGCCTCCAAGTTCAGCATCGATCTTGTAAACTCATTTAAGAGGCAATTTGAGACCCAGAACATCACCAATTACAATTTCCTTCAATTATTCTTTCTCGCCAAGAAAAATACAGTACTTGTCTCTCGAACTCATCGAAACCTCCCTGATACTGTACTAGATTTTTTTTTTTTTGCTGGTTCTTTGAAGTTCGACCAAAAGAGGTTAAACTGCATGAGAAAACTGCGTGCGGCGGGTGCCTCGCAAGTAACGGGACAAAAGACAATTTCACGGGCTATTATATAAGGCCAAATTGCCGTCCTTTTGGACCGCGGCTCAGGAATCAATCAATAATGGCGAAGGACTTACTCCTATCGTGTCTTCGTATCCGGTTGCATATGCCAGGGCGTGTGTTACTGAAACTGCAGGCAGACCGAATACTGTGCCGATAACCATTAAACCCATGTCCGTCCAGCGCTCTTGACCACCGGTCCAATTGTCCGTTGTCGCCGTATCATTTTTCAGCGCCGCTCGGTAGACAATCAGGACGATCATCCCGACCACCTGCGTTAAGACGATCGTGTTATGGGTTGGGTTCTTTATCTGGGTGAATTCAGACCGATGCTAAATGAGCCATAATAACCCCCTCCATCACTGTTCCGAAAACAAGACAGAATGCGGTCAATCAAACCCCGATTTTGTTCCATCATTCGTCCTGGCACATTTTTGTGGCGCTAAGTGAGGGTGGCACTAAAGTGGGGTATTGCAGCTGAGGAAAATTTAGTTGAGGGCTTTATACTAAAGACAAGAGGCTTGGTTGCATAATTTTCAGCCATAAAGTTCATTTTATAAGAGAGAACGCCACAGGAAATCATTTGAGGCTCACACAAAGTGTTTTTACTGCACTTTAATTTACGTAATAGTACAAAAATTATTAGATTTTTGCTCATATTGGGTCAAGTTAAAGAGTGTAACTGTTTCTTGCAATTGTTTTTATCAACCTTCCAATGAAAGCACTTAATTCTATGATCAGCTAAAGTGATTTTGAATTTTTTTAAATAGACTATCTAAAAGATCTTTCAATGTTCTTCACTGGCATGGAAATCCAAAAATACCACCCGATTACATTTAAATTCAGAAATATAATTTTGAGAATTTTGCTGGACATGGACATGTGATTCTCATAACTGTGAAAATATTATGATACTCCTAGAATTATACATAAATTTCTCTGGGTTTTGCATATTTTGCATTCAGGATAGGACATTTTTGTGACATTAAGTGAGTTGGCACTAAATTGGAGTTTCCCTCAAGAACTATCCATGGAGGGATATTTGGGGCACTATATGCATGGGTAGCACTAAATCGGGGGGCATTAAATCGTGGGTTGACAGTATTTCTTTGCCATTTCAGGTTCCTGGTGGCGTGAGACATATTAATCTCCATTCGCAAAAGTACGACAGGTTCAGGCGCATCGATAAAAAAAATTTGCTACCGCAATCTTTCAGCTGCTTCATGCTGTAACTATGTGTGTGCCTCTGGAGAAAAATTCCCCAGTCAAAAGCGTGTGAAAATTTAAACACTGCTTTAAAAAAAGAGCGTAATTACTACGCGCATTATCCTAACTGACGCGCACCGCTTCCTTCATTCCGTCAGCATACTTTCTGGATAAGAACAATGCACAACAGCACCGGATAAAACCAAGCAAAGCACCGAGCTGATGACCTAAACTCATCACCATTTTATCCTGTTACCAGATTCCTGAAAAGCCTGCATGCGCGATGAAGATCGCTTCAAGTAACAAAGCCTGTCCATAATGAAGTTAGGTGGTAAACTTTACTTGACTAATGGAACGGGCAATTATTCTTCGTTGAATAGACTAGCACTGGATAAAAACTACAGGGCAGACAACAAGGGGCACCGTTAAAAGTACTTGATTTCCGGTTCTCGGAGCGACCGGGGATAGGGATGCTCACTTTCGCGATTGAAACCTTGATTGCTGGGACTCATGGGAGGGAGAAAAATCTTTTCAAAGCGTGCTAAACGTGCGTGAATCTTCAGGAATAATCTAATTCAATGGCCCCCGCGTGATGATGGTAATCCGCTCTGCGTTTGATTTCGCTTGAAAACCGCGAAGAGTAAACGATGAGCGGTCCAACGCAACCACGTCATGATGAGATGTGTTGAAAGTCGTCCTTCCCACGCGTGATGTCTTCCATTTTTACCGCAGAGGGCAATCAATCGTTGAAGCGCACAAGGAAAACACGGCTGGGTCGACGACTTTCCTTTCAATGCCGCGTCTTCAGCGAGGATTTCAATAGACCCGACGCGCCGACGAAATTTCAACCCCGAACCGCTGCTTTAACTCCATTCACGTTAGCTGAATCCCCGAAGCGGAAAAATACATGAAAAGTACTGCACATGCCGGGTGGACCAGAAAACAATGGATTAATATTAAATCTGCAGCAGCCCATCCAGTTCAAGATATGACGCAGAAAGTATGACTTGAATATCATTAAATTATATTCAAATGGATGTCAGATTTATGGAATGAAGTACAGTAAATTGATTCGGACCAGCACGCGCGTTAGAAAAAAAAATTGCGTCTGGAAAAACTTGCCATGCGTGCGCTTCCATTTGATGATTCAACAAGTTCTAACGGAAGTGGCTCAAGTCACCGTGGCATATTATTCAAAATACTGTAATACTTTACTGTATTTGGAATCCATCAGCTACGAAAATTTCTGATCTTGTAAAGATTGATACTTTAGAGTTTAGGCTATTGACATAAATTAACACTTCTGAGAACTTTTTGACGAACTCGAAGAGAGAAATATGACTACTGTGGAACGGAATAATTCGGCTTTCTATAGTCGCAGTTCCGCTCACCCTGCTGGAGAAAAAAAAAAAAGATTGTTCCGGACTTTTTCTCCGCATTCTGGTGGATTCGTCTGAGGAAACCCAATGGAATCAGAGGACAAAATCAATTCCGCAAACAATGCGTGAAACGGTGACAGAGAAGTTGAATTCGAGCGCAACCCGAACCTTGCTTTTTTCCGGCCCAGCTTGCCAAAGATCGCAGAAGAGCGTCAGATCCCCCTCCCCCGAATCACTGCTTTAAAGTCACTTGAAGCCAAGCATAACAGGATCAACCTGATGCTGCGGTTGAAATTCTTCAAGCCTTGCATTTCTACTCTTCTGTTTGTATGGCTACATGAATCAGATGAGCGTGCTATTAAACTGTTTATAACCAAAACCATGAAATCGAAGAGAAGTTGAAAAGAAATTGATTGAACTATAATTTCGCGTGTATTCCTACATCGAACTTTTTGTAGCTCAGGAATTACTTCAGTTAGAATATTATTTCATTGGTTTCCTTTTCACCGTGTGCAATGAAGCGTTTTGATACGGACTGCATGGGCCCATGACGGAAATCGAGAATCAGCCGAAATTCCTTCTCGAGGAGCATTCGTAGAATGCCTAATAATGACACGAATTCCACCCCCTGGCGCTTTCCACGGCATACAGAAGCTCAGGTACGTCATCAGAGGGTAATCAGAGCCCTGGATCTCTTGCTACCGTGAATACTATTCAGTGACTAAACGAGCCCAAGAACAAATGAAGGGCACGATTCGTGCAAAGCGAATGGAGCAGGCGTTTTTAAAATGACAATACCTTGAATAGTGTCCGCTGCCCGCGATTTCGCGACTGGACATCGCGGAAAATGATCCTTGAGAAAATCTTGCGCAGAAAAAATCCCGCGGTCTTATAATTTATCCCACAGAAAATCAAAAGACCAAAAGAAAAAATTAGAATGAACAATGGAAGTTGCAAGAGTGAAAAAAATGTTTTACTGAATTATATAATCCTTTTTTATTTTGGAAGTTGTATTTCGACTGCCCATTCAGAATTTTAAAAATTATGATCTGTGTAGTAATTATTACAGTATTTTTAATGTACCAAGCTGTCCCTCTCAAATTGATTGAACTGTTGATACACCTCGTGTCTTGTGTTGCACGGTACATTCTACTTGTACATACTTATTTTACAAAAATCCGAAACCCATACAAAATTCGAAGAGATGGCAGGGTTGTTCCAGAATGCCGCCATCCGCATCTTCGTTACTCCGGGATTTTGTCTCGACCGAAATTTTTCCCCGCACCCGCGGCGAGTGCATTGGCATTAGTGAAGACGTTCCTCCGCGGGGTAAGAAAAACAATCGCCGTACAATAATCGGCTGCTTTCAATGCAGTGGAAAGCGGATTCGTCAAGATGAGACACGTTATCATTCCTGCGTTTATGCGTGAACTTCGTTTCCGCAGAGCAAGTCATGCGGTTGACCACGAAGTCTTCGTCCGCACACCGCGTGGTAATTCCGTCGATCCGTGCTTCAGCGTTCCCGTCGGGTTTCACGCCGCAAATCGGCCTGTAATCACGCGTTAAAAGCACGAATGATTTCAGCTGGATGCTGTAACAGTCTGTCTTGCATCGGCGATGAAGTATTGCGCCGAGGAAAATGGCACTAAAGCTCAAGAAACGATGCGTACGCTACAACGCGGAACTACAGTTCCGCGAACAGAAATGAGATCATAGGTTCAATTTTTTTTTTCGAGAGCAGCTTGCGTTCGGGTTTGATAGGAATCCATTATTCTGAGATGCTAAATCGTCACCGAGCCCTTGAACAGCAGCATCGGGGAGCACTTCCTGAACACCTGAGGGTGGAATGAACCGCATTTCAAGCGACATGATCACGTTTTTCCCTTTGTCCGATGAACGAACCCTGGAAATGCTTGAATCGAATCCCACTCTATATGCTTTATCGCGCGGTTTTGTTGAGGCAAGACTTTGATGATTGCGCTCTCTCACTTTTGTCAGAGCTTCATTGCGAGGCTTTTTCCGGAAGCTAGTGTGGGAGAAATACAAGGAAGCATGCGTCTCGCTTTTGCAGTAACGGTCCTGATAATAATTAAACAGATGGTTTGTTCGTTCTGCCTGAATACCAGGGCGAAAATAATTTTGAAGCAATTCCTGCGATGAAACGTTTCCTTTGATTAGTCGAGATAGAATCCCGCTAGAAAGCATTCCCGCCTACAAAACACGAATTCGCGATCAGCGTCCCATCGCAGCTCAATCAAAATCTGAAATTAGCGGTATTTGCTAATGAAAAAAAAACCACAGCCATTCTTCTTATTCGGATTCCGATGTAAATTGGCCAGTTCGACCGACTAATGGAAAATAAAAGAACATTTATGTTCGCGTCTGACTTGCAGCCGCACCCCAAGCATTAGCCACGAAAGTCGTTAACTTTTGGGCTAAAAAAGGTGGCCTATTCACTGACAAAACATGCTAATTTTTCCGGAAATGCTCGCATATGTTGGGTGAAAAATATACTGCAAGATGTTCTGCTTCATAATATGCACACATATATTACATTTGAATGTGAAGCCTCGTTCTCACCAACTTTTTTCAGATAATAATCCTCGTCCTACGCATACCAAAATCAGCCTACATGCATGCATACTGTACATCTGTGTATATAACAGTGTTTCCGAACCTGAAGTCCGCGGACCAGCGCCTGTCTGCAGACATTTTTTGCTGGTCTACGGGAAATTTTCTTCAGCATAGTAAAGTTATAAAGGGTAGCAAAGAAGTCTGTTATCTTTATCTGAAATTTCAGAAAAACAATGGCAATTAAAATTATTTGATGAAAAATAAAAGTTTGCTTTTCTCCGAATATACACTTCAGACAAATTTTCACCTGTTGAAAATTTTTACAGTATTTTAATTTTTCATTCCGAGAAGCCTTTCTTCTTGAAGACATTCTACCATATGGCTACTTCATTAGTCCTTCACTTAATTTTTGCAAAAAGCAGGAACTTTCTGAATGCCTGCCTCTCAAACAAAACCTTTTTGAGCCTGCAACAATTTTATGAAACTTAGCCAGTCCAAAGAATTTTGTTGTTGAAAATTTGCCAGTCTGCCAAAAATGTTCATATAAGCATGCCGGTCCATGAAAAATTTTATGGAAATTTGCTGATCAATGGGCCCAAAAAAGGTTGTGTAACACTTGTGAATGAATGAACAGAAAACTTTATTTGCCGCTTTTCAGCGTTCACAAGGCACAACCAAAACTCCCGCATCCAAACCCCCTCCCCACCACTTTTGTATACACTTTTGTATACACACTTGTGTATACAGACCACATACATGGAACCTCAGTAGGACCTTGGCTAGAATATCTCGAGTATAGGCCGCACCCAACTTCTTGAGGGATAGAGTTCACATGTAAGTCAGGATAAAACTGCTGCTTTGATCGCAAAATCGGAGGTAACAAACCGTCCTTAGTTGTGCACCTTGTGAATGGGCAACAAACGATAACGCGAGTAGATGACAACAGGCACCCTGCTTTGAAATGTGACCAAGTGACAATGTAATGTGAGACGTACGAAGGAGGAATTCGGATCGATGTTTTATTTTCCCAGCACCCTGCTGCCAAATTTTTCTCCTTTTCCTCTTCTCAAAACTTGATATGCTGTCTCACATTGTGGCTTAACAGCATCCCCCAGCACACCTGAACGGCGATCATAAATTTCTTCCAAACTTTCCGAAGTGCCGTCATGCGTTTTCTGAAACTGCCTGCATGGGCATCGCGAAGATCGTTCATACATTCAGGGCGTGAGAAACATGGGTACGTTGTACAGTTATCGACCAACGACCGAAAACATCAGATGAAACGCTGGAGACCCACTGTCACGCACCCGGGACTGTGTAATGATGACCCTGCTAATACAACGTTGTCAGGCAGGCACTATGCCGCGGACACCAACGAAGCCCGGCGAAAACAAGGTCGAGGGGACGAATAATTTCAGCAAGAAGGTGGGGCTCACTGGAGGCATTGACACACGTAAACAACGATTCTGCGCGTTCTGCGTCGTCCCAGGGTCCGGGTACGACGACAGATGGCAATCATGGTGAGAACTGGTATAAAGGTCAGCTCACCGAACATACGAGCGAGCACAGGCCCACGCGTGAAAATAAGGTCGCCATGTAGCACCACGGTTTCGCACTCGCTGCGATTTCACGCCCTGGAAACCAAAAGTCTCAACTGACTTATCAAAACGTAGAGATTTCAAGTACGTCCACTTTGATCGACACAATTTAGTTGCGGTTCGAGGTTCCAACGAACCGGGAAATCGTTCGAAACTGCGATCAATTGCTTCTTTCGTCCGCGACCGTCCGTGTCTGACAAGCATAGCCTGTGACAGAAATTCGACTCATTTTCTGCTATCTTCTCGTCCACAGGAGAAGGCAAATATTACGGAAAGCTCGCGTTCGAGATAAGATATGAACCAACGACGAAAGATAATGAGTAAGCGAGTTACCCGCTTTTACGCGAGATGAAAAGCAGCTCGCGATGATGCATCGCCACCCAGAACATGAAGAATTCTGAGAAGCAGCGCCTCAACCTGGTCCAGAACAGTATACACGTTGTCTTCTATGCTATCACTAAACACATAGATTATCTGGTTTGTAATAGCTACAGTACGTTTATTGAAGATCCCCCTCCATCTCCAACACGAGCAGGGACCAAATTTTTCAAAAAGAAATATTCGAGTCGATTTGTTTTACACGAAGAAAATATTTTTCGCAATGCCGATCCATCTGTTGCGGTCGAGACGTCATCATGAAAACCTTTTGTGCGTTAAAAAATACGAGGATGCACATTTACCGTAAAAAATAGCATCTTCCGCAACATTTTTATTTTTTTTATCGAAAAGAGTTCGTGAAAAAGAATGCGAGCACATATTTTCATGGCAGAGCTTGCAGGCGAGAGTATAGGGCCATTCGAAGGAGCGCGTAACAAAAAGTGCAATGAAGATGCATATCAATATTTGCGTATGTCAAAATGTATTCCTATAATCGTGTGCCGCATTCATGGAATTGAAGAACGCACCATGATTCCGAGTGGTCATTCGAGAAAAGAACGCACTCTATACGTCCATAAGTGCATAAGCCACAATATAAATACTCGTACGACAGAAGATCATGCAAAGAAAAAGCGAATAAAATTAAAGCCTCCGTTGGATCTGTGACATTTTACAGAAATGTAACCATTACGATATAGACATTATATACGCTTTTAGTCGAACATTTATAAAATGTCAAAATAGCGTAAGAACGCATCAGGAAATTATCCCAAGACAAGTCCGTATTTTGAGTAATTTTCCCGCGCGTGGTAGATATTTCCACTCATCTTTTAGTGTCTCGATCTACAGTATTTCTATTCGCATGATCTTCATTATAGTTGAATCTTCAAATGATAGACGCAATCCATCCACAAATACTGTAATTCGGGTATTCGCAGCGCGTGGAAGTTCTTTCATAACGTTTCTAGTTTATAATGTGGCCTACATTCGCAGTACTGTATGAAGCAATACTAGCTGCACGTCCTCAATAAGTCCATGCCCATGAACGCGATCGTTATAAGAGCCAACAAACTTACTTTAATATGCTATTAGGAAAGCAAATCTTTCAGGATAGTAGTGTACTTCGTTTGCAGAGGTCGAAAATACTGTAATATCGATCCCCTTTTGAATAACGTTCAATTCGTGCTTCCGTAGTGTGTTCCGAACGACGTCGATTAAGCTACGCATAAAACTTGCAGGAATTTAACGCCTCAGAACTTTATGTTTCGACCATTCTTTCCAGACGGGAAATTGGCACCAAGTTAATTTTTTCTCATCTGCATTTATTTCTCGAAGCTTAACCCAGTTGCCGCCCTTTTACACGGATAATTAAGAAAAGGCGCTCTCCAGCGAATTTGAACTTGTCCTTCGGTGACAGCAGAACAAAAACGACTCCGCACCACTTTTTCGCAAAATTACCATGGCGAGCGATTTTCGCGATCGCCGAAAGCCACGTGCACCGGTGCACAAAAATGCCATCTAGAATGTCATCATAGCCGAGACCAAGTGAGAATCAGGGCTATCGAGGAAAGTATCGAGGCCTAAGGGGGAACTAATGGACCACCGACTGGAATCGCTTTGCAGAACGCATCCAAATTCTCAGTCATCGCCAACTGGACGGCACCTGAATTTCGCCACTTTTCTTTTCGTCTTATTCTTCTTTCTTTTATGCCTCCCTCTCCTGGAGACCGGTGGATACCAGCTCGGATAGTTTTAAATAACCTGCGCTCATCGGACCGACGGCGGCAGTCTTCCTCGTCAACTCGTGCTGCACGGCGGCTCTTCCTCCGGCGCCGAAAAAAGGCGGCTCGTGCGTTGCGTCCGTCGAGCGAACTTCGCTCGGGCTTTTATTCACTGCTGGTCCGCGCAGGCGTGCAGCGAGCAAATCCTCGCGAACCACATCTAGCTATTTAAATTTTTTTGTGTGCGGAAAATTTGCAAGTGGCGTCGGGTACAAATTTTCTCCAATTTTTACCCGAAATTGTTGGCAGATGAAGAGGTGGAATCACTAAGGACTTTTTTTTTTTTTACTGAAATTCGGACATGTTCAACACTAGGACAATTTTTTTCCTGAAAGGATGTCAGTTTTATGGAAAATCAAGGATATGATGACTTTACTTTCATCGACTGAAAATCGCATAAGCTTGAAATTTTTTTATGTCGTGCTTCGAGACTTATGACGTGCTTTATTTCGTGGTGGGTAACACAATTTTAAAAATGTATCGAATGATGACGAACTGCAGGTATATCGGGCTCATACGAACCAATTTTATGGGCATATAATTATGGCACAAATAAATGGAAAAACATGTTTTGAAATTCTTCTCCATTTTCCATTTCTGGCCGATAAAAGCCAACTGAAAAACATTACGAAAAAGTGCGCTGTTTTCCTGCTATAGAGAAGTTATCTACCGAAATATATTATAAAAATATTATCCAGCATGAATGCAATAATTTAAAATCATCTTTTCGAATTTTTCGGAATGCAAAAAAATGTTGAAAAATGTATGCAGTTCAAGAGAATTGATTATCGATTTCAGAATGTAGCGTGTTTCTCATGAGCTAAATTATGGTTATTGTTTCAATGCGAGGATAATTTCAGTTCACGAGCGATTCATCGGGTTAATTTCTTTTGGTTGATCTAACCTTCTGGATTTTAGATATTCCAATGAAATTTATAATGGTTTGTAAGTATAAGATCATCTGGAAACATAAAGTTGCTTTCTTGTGAATGATCTTCAATTCAAATGGGTAAGAATCAGTGAATGTCAGTGGCGTGTTCAACGGCGATAACCCGTTACCCCAGTGGTTTAATCCATTGAGTGTTTTTTGTTGCTGTTGCAGTAATAGTGACTTTAAATTATTATTGCGCTTCTTTCGGTGGCAAGGATTAAGCACAGCAGTCGCTGATTGGTGAAATCAACCAACTACATCTTTACTTCCTTCTCGTCAAGTGGGGGAATATTCGCAGAGAACAATCAGACTCTCGATTGATCGTTCCGGCTCGGAACAGCTTTGTGATTGACGGATTTATCGGTGAGTTTTGACAGCATCAATCTCAGTTTCGCGATAAGCAGGAGAATAAGAATGCCTCAAATCTGTCCGGTTAAACGTTGGGAGGACGAGGCGGAGATGAGAAATCCGTCGCGAATTTCCGAGCATTGATCATTCCGGTGTTACCGACGACAACACAGCATGACCGTGAGAGTCTTCCTCTTCCTACACCAGATGTTACACGGATTTTACAGGCCGAGAAAAAGCCGTATGGGGGGTTTTAAAGTCATTCAAGTCCCCGACGCATTTTCAGTGCCGCTGGATGAAAATCTCATTTAAAACGGATGAATTTGAGGTATCGTAGGAATGGTTTGAGGGACCTACAAGGATGGGCAATGAGGAACACCTGGACGAATTTTGCACAAAAAAATCCATGCGTCAATTAATTAATTTCTGTATCGCTGTCCAGATGATCTTTACATTTGGCCAAGCATTTTTCCTGCAAATTCCACTACAACTGCGAGTATATGGGGTTTCTAAAAGTTCTTCAACATACGAACGCATTCTCATTACTGCTAGATAAACCTAATACAGTATGCTTTTTTTTTTACTTATTGTTCTTACGTGAAAAAGTATTCCTTTGAAACAAGTTAATTGGCGGAAAATTAAGTGATTTGAGGGACCACTGAAAAATAAGAAATGCTGCCAGGAAAAACTTTGAATAAGTTCCCATTCTTCCGTTTTTAAGTACTTTTGTGGTACTTTAATATTGTATATTTATTTTTGCTGTACGGAAAATTATTCCATTCGGTCCAGAATTTTTTTTATCAAGACTTCACTACAACTGTGCTAATTCTCCTAGAGCTGAATTCAAGGAGATTTTCACTACAAGTTCGATTACTTGTTGCCTCTCAGTAAGAAAATGATTTATGACGGAATAATTCCCCTCCCCTATATCGATCTAAATCAACCCGTAAATCGCAAGACTTTGTCCCCGAGTAATTGACAAGGCATGATTAAAAGTTTCCGTAACCTTTGGGCCTCCTCAGAAAGTCTTTCAAAAAATTAGCGTTCATGCCCAGAAAATCCTCCCGGCGCACGAATCTGATCCGAAAATTCGTTGTTTTTCTGGCTAAAAAATAAGTTCGTGAAAAGAGCTTTTTATTATACTGGAGGGACGATTCACAGGTGGTTCGCAAGACTTTCGAGAAACCCGTCGTACTTTTTCCTTCCTGCTCGCGTTTGTCGCACATGTTGCTTGATCGTTGTCACTGCGACCGGCACCGTTAGCGGAATTTCGTCGGCGCGGCGGCGAGACCCCGCTCGAGTGGCTTATTGTGATTTATGTCATCGTTTCCGTCGGCGGAAAAAACCGCAATGTTTGAACAATCGGATCATCGTGACGAAAAGGGTTTAAGCCTCTGCGTTTCCCCGACGATGAGTGCGTTTCGAATTGAGCGAACACTGAAGAACGGGTAGCGGGATCGCGGGTCACGGCGGAATCGGAGGCCGGTTCATCCCACACCGAGTTACGTCGTAATGCGAAAAGAAAAGCTTAGCTGTTTTCCAGCGTTTCAAACTCGATTCTTTTTAATCTTCGTTCTAGATGTGATGAGTGAGAGTCGTC